CATGTCCTGTCCTCAACAGCCCTGCTCAGTTCTTGTAAACTCAAGAAAGCAGCTTCCTTTGGGAAGTTGATCCATCTCATGTTTGGTCTTCCTCTTTTCCTCCTGACTTCAACTTTTCTTAGTGTTACTGTCGTTTCCAGAGAATTTTTGTCTTCTCATGATGTGTCTAAAATAGGACAGCCTCAGTTTCAAAGTACAAGAAGGCCAAATGATTAGCCTGTCAGTGAAATCCTCTTGCATTTACATGAGGGATAGTATTGAGCAGGAAATAGCATACAGTACTTTTCTTTTAAGCTAATGTATGCATTTGACACACTAGATGAGAAGATGCAGGGCCTTCTCTCTCTCATAGGCAGGAGTGACCTCATGACAACAATTTCTTAATTAGGTTGGCAGTTCTTTTACTAGTCTCAATGAGTTTTCATTTCATTTTCATTTTCTTTAATATTAAGAAATCTTTACAGAAGTACAGGAAAGCAGCTGGGACAGCAGCCTGCAAATGAGTAAGATTTTGATGGTCTAATAAAGATATTGTCCAACCTTGATTCTGCACAAGGACTACGAAACATTTCTTTCTCTTCTTCATTTTGCTTACTTAGAAGTATTTACCCATGTTTATTCTTTAAAAAATCAGGCTGCTTTCATCCGTGATGTTATGATGCCTGGAGAATGGGACGTATGTGTGACATCCTATGAAATGGTTATCAAAGAAAAATCTGTTTTTAAAAAATTTAATTGGAGATACCTGGTGATTGATGAAGCCCACCGAATAAAGAATGAAAAATCAAAGGTAAAATTCAGTTTTATTTCTGTAGATGTCTGACATCATAATACTAGCACAATGAATGCCTGGAGGAAGACACCTCATCGCTTTGTGGGAAAAGAAAACTTTCTGGTACACTTCCAAAAATGGATAGTGTATGTAACTTCAGAATGGCAAAAAAGGGGTTTTCAGGTGGGATTTAAAATAACAACGATTACATGTGCAGTAGTTTATTTTGGTTGCGGAGCCAGAAGTTGGTAATTTTCAAATCTTTACAAATATGTAGGAAGGACTCCCTGTACCCCAAGACCCTGTCCAAACCACTTTGCCCTGGATGATCCAAATGGTTCAAAGGATAGTTATAAAAATGTATTTGGTTCTCCTCATATTTTACAACTAGTACACAATTATCTGTTGTAAACTTTTTAAATTGCATTTTGTATATTTTAGCCATAAATATGTTTTGTGAGCTGGTCACTCGGCCGTAATAAGTAAATAAATAAATAAATATAAATAAATAAAATTCCCTACTGGGCCTCCTTGACAGGGGCTGGACTTGATGATCCATAGGGTCCTTTCCACCTATGCAGTTCTAAGGTTATGATTTCTTTGTAATTGCACATTTGAAAATTATGGTAACCTTGAGCTGTAATTTTGAAACACTTGGTACTGTTCCCATTTGTACATTTATGTCTTTGGCTTCAAGACCAATAACCACCTTCCCAAATGTCTCTAGCTGTCTGAGATTGTTCGTGAATTCAAGACAACCAACCGATTGCTGTTGACAGGGACCCCCTTGCAGAATAACCTTCATGAGCTCTGGGCGTTGCTCAACTTCCTTTTACCTGACGTCTTCAATTCTGCAGAGGTGAGAGAACCTCGCTTCAAAATTGCGTTGTTCCTTTCCGCACACTTTTAGTGGCTGTCTGGTTTCTGTCAAAACACTGAGGGCGGTTTTGCATTTTAGTTCTATGGCTTTTGTCCTTTTTTTCCATAGGAGTGATGTGACACAGGAACTTAACATCATTTGTTTCATATCTTCAGGACTTTGACTCCTGGTTCGACACTAAAAACTGCCTTGGTGATCAGAAACTGGTAGAGAGACTTCATGCAGTAAGTATGAAAATGTTTATTGTTAGAGCAAACGTATTGTCTGTGGTCTCATCCAGTACATGCTTAACTACAGTAGCTGCACTGAAATGAGGAGAATGTCTTGATCATGAGCTCCATTGGTCTTATGAGTCTAGGTAGGACTAAGATATCACCCAGTGGTTCACACAATATATAGTACACTGTAGGAACATTGTATTGTTTTGTGGATATTGACTTAATGGAAAATGTAAAGGAGTAGATGCAATAAATTATAACTATGCAGAATACATACGTTTGCATTTTATTTAGCGCTGTTGTTGGCGACAAGAAGACTTTCTCTCCCAAAGCAAAGCATCCAGTTGCGTTACATAAACAGGACAGGTGAAATATTATCATGCAAAGCCACCATAAACACATGAAAAGACCTAGGTTTACAATGCTTCTAGCTACACAATATACGTAGCCTTAAAATGTAAAAACTTAAATATCTTGGAAACAGTAGCAAAGCACTTGTTTTAATTGCCATGTTTGAATTCCGCACATCGAAATACATAACCAATAGCATGTTTTATCTCTGAAGCAGACGGTTTCTAAAAAATTGTAGACTGGCGTTATTTATGCTGTAAATCCAAGAAATACCTGCAGTAGTCCACCAGGCTCAATTGAGCATTCTCTTGATGTTAATTGGAGCTAATTCTGTTTTGTGTGGGGTAGTGAGCATGATGTTCCTGTCACCATAGGCGTAGACAAAGAAGGGGCCTCCCAGAAGAGTGGAACGCATTGCAAGTACACTCGGCTGTCCTCTGAGTAACGGCGTACAGCCCGCCTACCCTTCGCTTCCAGAAGCATTGCTTTATAAACTTGCTGATGAGCACATTGACCCAACGGTCCTTTTTCAGGACCCCAAATGGCAATAATTTCTATTAATACAGAGGGCAACATTTTTAATTGGTTTTTAATTTTACCTATAGTTCATGTAAGTCCATAATTTTGAATTATGCAGTGCTCTGGCACAAATAAAGAAGAAAGGCTAGGAGAGGCGCAGTAATCTGTAAAACGCGTTGGTTTCCAGGTTTTGAAGCCCTTTTTGTTGCGGCGTATAAAAGCTGAAGTGGAAAAAAGCCTGCCTCCTAAAAAGGAAGTGAAGATTTATCTGGGCCTCAGCAAAATGCAGAGAGAATGGTAAGGTGCTTTTTGCTCTTAATTTAAAATGGTTACAAATTCCCTGGGGTAGGGTCTTGACCGTAAGCTATAAACGTAGAACTAGGGTTTAGAGGCCTACGGCTTCTGGTGCTGCGGGGGGAAGATCATGCCATCGTTACTAGTGGCCATTAATAGCCTTCCCAGATTTTTCTCATCAACTTGTAAGAAAATCCTGTTTGCTGCAAGTGACCCACTGATATGGACTGTGGTTAGAATGACTGAGTTGGTGGGCCGAAAGCGCTCTGCACTGTAGACATTAGGTTTGAACGGTTCCCAAGCTCACCTGAGTCTTGGTTCAAAAACTGTCTGATGTAATTGAGACTGATGTGGTGGCCCAGGCACTGAACAGCAGTAAAAGGCGAGGTGTATTTCTGACACCTTTCAAAACACCATATGCATGAAGTAGGAAGGCAGGGGCAGGTAGCTGGGTTTTCTCATTGGCAGCTCTAGCTTTCTGTCTGAAGGGTTCTCCGATTGCAGCGCTTGGGAAGAAGGACTGTGAAGTACATGGTCTTCCCCTCCTGGCCCTCTTTGCTAGTTGTTAGCAACAGGAGCCTTCTCAAAAGAGATCTGTCTCCTTTCGTGTGTGTGCTTGTTCTGCCGTATTAGGGCTGGCCCAAATACTCAGCCTTTGGTCCTTCCTTGGCCATCCTTTTGTAGTACAATCTCATCCTTCCTTTTTCTCCATGTTTGTTGTTTGAGTGAGTCTGTATGCTGCTATCAGTGTGGCTTTAGTACTTTTTAAAAAAATCAGCAGTGGCTTTTCCTTTATCCTCAGGAGTTAAGGAAGAGATGCAGATCAGGTTCTAAATCTGCGAGCAGGCACCTTTTCTCAGTGGCTGGTGCCTGAGTGGGGTTTTAAAAACAGCTCCATGTTTGTTGTTTGAGTGAGTCTGTAGTCCCAAAGTCCTGAAGGATATCAAGTTCCATCTGATTAAATTTTGCTGAATTTTTTCCTCAGGAGTTAAGGAAGAGATGCAGATCAGGTTCTAAATCTGCGAGCAGGCACCTTTTCTCAGTGGCTGGTGCCTGAGTGGGGTTTTAAAAACAGATTGTTGTGCCTTACTGCTTTGAATGTCTTTGGTTTACCATCTTTTAGTTTTGGGGTGCTTGTTTGATCCTTTTTGGTATTTGTATACTTATTTTTTTAGCTTTAGGTATTGCCTTCCAATGAGGTAGGCCTCCTTGGGTCCTTCTTAAGGAGAAAGGTGTGATAAAAACATTTTAAATGGAAAAATAAAATAAATAAATAAATCTCAGTTCAGATTCGTGTTAGTAGTGTCTCAGGATTAAGTTTGCTTGTGAATTGTACACACAATTAGAGGTGCTCAGAAGCTTCCTGACCATGAATGGCCCATAAACCATCATAGCACAGCTGCGGGAGAAGAGTTGATGTCTCTTTCCCTCTCTGTGTGTTTAAAATAGCCTCTTCCTCAATACCTGATGAATTTGTACTTGCAGTAGTCCCAAAGTGCTGAAGGATATCAAGTTCCATCTGATTACATTTCGCAGATTTTTGTTGTTGTTGCAGGTCACATTTAAATAAATAGCACATCTTTCAGAGTGAACATCTGTATTACTGTGGTATAGGTACCTGCAACTGTCATCTGTTCCATATTCAAATGTTAATGATAAGCCTTTCTTTTTAAATGGTTTAAAACCCTTTCAGGTATACCAAGATCCTAATGAAAGATATCGACATTCTAAATTCCGCCGGAAAAATGGATAAGATGCGGCTGTTGAATATCCTGATGCAGCTCAGGAAGTGCTGTAATCACCCATACCTGTTTGACGGCGCTGAACCTGGTCCACCGTACACCACGGATACTCATCTCGTGACCAACAGTGGCAAAATGGTTGCCTTGGATAAATTACTGTCAAAGCTCAAAGAACAGGGTAAGTAGTTACCTAAAGACATCCATCCGCTTGTGAAGAGTTTGCTGGAGAAAATGGAGTGCAGGAGGCTGCTCTTCTGAGATGGGTGGTCCTGGTGATTAGGTAACAGAAAAGGACAACGTGAAAAAGACTGGCACCCTAAAATCTCTCAGGTATATTTTAGCCGATTGTGTGGCATTTGGTATCTTCCTTAGTTCAGTCATCACCATCATGAGCTCTCAAATCCATTCTGACTTGTAGCAGAATTGACTTTTTCCGGGTTTTCCAGGTAGAGAATAACTCAGAAATGGTTTCCCGTTCTCTTCTTCTGGGGTTGCCTAGGGACCTGTAGCCCAAGGCCACATAGGCTGGCTCTATTCCTTGGAGGCACAGAGGGGGGGGGTTGAACTCCCAACCTCTGGCTTTGCAGCCAGATGCCAAAATCTCTGAGCTATCCATAGATGCAGATGGCCTGAATTTCAGAGGATTCAGAGTGTTAAGAGAGGTTGCTGGAATGATTCCGGCAATGCGAAGGTCACTGGTCCTTGGGTGTCTTGAGACAGAGAGGCTTCAGTTACTCAGAGGACAGCCGAGTGTACTTGCAATGCGTTCCATTCTTCTGGAAGGCTTCAGCCTAGGAGAGGAAAGCAACAACCCAGGCAAGGGAACCCAAGCTTCAGATCATGGTGAATACCAGCTGTTCTGACAGAGGGCAGGGCTGTTCCAAAGCAAGCAAGAAAAAGGGAAAAGAAGCAAAGAGACACTGCCTGTGAAAGAGAGAAAGAGGATTCTCACTTTGTGTGCATGGTTCTCTGCTAAGTTCGGGAGCACCATCAAGCGTCCTTTTCTAATTACTTTGTCCCTTAGGTTCCAGGGTTCTTGTCTTCAGCCAGATGACCCGCTTATTGGATATCCTGGAAGATTATTGCATGTGGCGGGGCTACGAGTATTGTCGACTGGACGGGCAGACGCCCCACGAGGAGAGAGAGGTGAGAAGAATTGATCTAGTCCCTTGAACTTCCATTCCATCTTGTCCTGGAGGCAGGTTGGAGTTTGGGCAATGGCCACCCAGTGCTCCTTAATGCAGTCACCAGTTATTTTTCTGCTGGCATTTTACACTTCCCAAGGCACTACCGTGCTAAGTGAGGGTTTTTTTCGTGAGTGACCAGATTTATAAACAAGAGATTGATCTGAGATGGTTGAATGGTCTCTCGAGTTCACTTTCATGTCATTCAGCCTTCTAAGTCTAGTTTAAACCGTCACTTGAAGGGAAAATAAATGAAAGGTGCATTTACAGAAAGTGCCAGAGAGAATCAACATTGCAGCTGGAGGGTATTCTTAATTCATAAGCCAGGGTCCAGGTGCCGAGTAGAGCTGCTGGGGCAGTATTGAAGGAAATCATTTTGATTCACTGTGTTCTTGCTGTCATTTCATTCGCCGCTACAGTGTTCCATCAAAATAAGATAAATAACATGTGTGTTTAATCTTCAGTGAAAAGAAAAGAGCATTGTTTTTACAAAGTCTCCACTATTTCTCTTCTTTTTAAAGGAAGCAATAGACACCTTTAATGCTCCCAACAGCAGAAAGTTCGTTTTTATGTTGAGTACGAGAGCTGGAGGCTTGGGGATTAATTTAGCAACAGCGGATGTTGTTATCCTCTATGATTCAGACTGGAACCCGCAGGTCGATCTGCAGGCAATGGTAAGCCGTTTGAGGTTTTACTTCAAAAATCGAAGAGTAATCTGCATTGGAATAGGCTGTGCCTGCAGAGCTGAGAAGGTGGACTTGGAATAAACGACCAAATAATGGGGAGTCTTCGTTAAGGACAACCAGGCTGTGTGTGGTCCGCGTGTGCTATAGACAGAGGAGAACACGAGGGAAGGGAGAGGAGCCCCCAAGGCTCCGGCTTGCTTGTAGAAAGCCAAGCCATTCTTTCCCATGACCTCTGAATCGGTGCCACAACTGTGCAAACCCCAAACGGATGCTCTGCAAGCAGGCAGGGAAGAACAAAGTAACAAAATTAACAAGTGTTGGAAGCTGCCTTCTACTGAATTCAACCAGTCAGGCCAGGGGCTCCCAGCCTTGGGTAACCCAGGTGTTCTTGGGTTGTAGCTCCCAGAAACCTTCACCTCCAGCTGAGCTGGCTGGCGTTTCTGGGAGCTTCGGTCCCACGAACACTTGGGTTACACAAGGTTGTGAACACTGAGTTAGGTTGTTGAGCTTAATGTGGCTGAAGCTTTCCTCGGCCTCCTGGAGGTCCTTGGTATTGCCTGGTTGATCTCCCATCCAAGTACCAAGTCCAGCTCTCATCCCATTATAGTCTCTGAAAGACCATAGGATGGTGCAGAAGGGAAAAAATGCCCGGTTTTGTGCAGCCTGTTAGAGATGAAGAAATTGTCCATTCAGTTCTGGGGGTGGGACCATCAGGCCAGCCAGCTGAGCGGACTCAGTTCAGTGGGGTGAAGATTGGTGGTGGATTCTCTTCCTTGTGTAGGTCCACAACTCAAGGAAGATGCTGTTCGTTTTGCTCCTCTATCCCGTCTTTTTCTTATCTGCCCTCTCATTGCCTTTCCTAGCATTCTTAAGTGATAGGTAGAAGACTGTGCTTAATTATTGAAATGTGGAATTGCAAATGAGAAGGGACGCTGGTTTCTATCAGCAAAGTCTTTCCTAGTGCTGACCTCACAGTCACGAGATGATTTTTTTAGAAGAGGTAGCCATGTTAGTCTGGGCAAGCGTATTGGGCAAACTTTTTTTTTTTTTAAGTAAAAAAGAAGCCCAAAACTTTGTGGCACCTTAAAGACTGTTATGTTTTAATGTTAACTTTCATGCCTCAAATCCACTTCCTCAGACATCAGAGTGAGATTGCACGGCCATTGCCGAACAGAGAAAGAAAAAAACCAAACCATTTTGGCAGTATACAAGTTAAAGTGGAGAGCCTTGTTTTTCTGCGGTGAAGACTGGCAGAATATTTACGCCCTCCCAAACTTTCCTTTCTTTTTTTAAAATAGCAACAAGAAATCTGATCCTGCGGTGTGTTGTATAGTGGGAAAGGAGATTAAGGTGATTGAACCACTGGTGCAGCAAAATCATTTAATACTTCTTAAAGGGGTCAGCTTATAGCAGATCTTGAGAACTAAAATACTGCCAGTGAGTTACTGAAATCACATAATTTTCAGATCGTTCCTGAATCTGTTAAAAAGAGAATCCAGGTGATTCTCCCAGGTGGCATGCATGGAGTCCGACTCCCGACAATTGTGCTCTTTGTGGAAGGGCTATTAATAATGGAAAACAATCTTGTAAATGCATCTTAAGTGTAGACATAATAAGAATAATAGGCATGAGGGGGAAATCGTGAGAACAATGAGAGTAAATAGCAAGTCATTCCAAAATCCATAGCATTGACATTTTCAGTGTGTTGTTGTTGTTGTGGTGGTGGTTGTCGTCATGGTCATCCTCATTCCTTGTTGTCAGGATTTCAGTTATGGCTAGGCATCAATGCAGTCTTGAACTGTGATGTTATTCCCCCCCCCCATAGGATCGTGCGCATCGCATTGGTCAGAAGAAGCCAGTCCGGGTATTCCGACTCATCACTGACAACACAGTGGAAGAGAGAATTGTGGAGAGAGCTGAGATAAAGCTGAGGCTGGACTCAATAGTTATACAGCAAGGTACTGCAGAAGAAATGTTGTATAAAGCTTAAGGTGGAGAATGTTCTTCCTGAGAATAAACATCCACAGAGTCAAGGGAGGAGGGACTGTGACGGGTGGCCAGCCAGCCGGGTAAGAGCAGGTTGCAGAGATCCCATTGCTCTCCTTTGGGCGGCCTGATTCTCTTCTCCCCTGGTTTTGGCATTCTCAGTCATTTGGGTTGCGGGAAAGAAGAGTAAAACATTGTGAGAGGAAGCCATAAATTCAGTTGCTATTGTGGCATGGATACCCGTTGAGCTAAAGGGATTACTGGGTCACTGCCCCATCCCTTATTCAGAGGGAAGATCCTTAGATCTTACTCTTCATGAGTAGGAGATATGAAGTATTTAACTGTTATGTTAGTGAAGATTACTTTTGTGAAGGGAAAGTTGTCTGCCAGGCTGTCCACTGGTAAAAGCTCCACTGAAGTAGCTGGGATGTGGTGTCTGTGAAATTTTATATATGTTAGCTACCTTGTTTATTCCCAAGTACACGTTTGCAAAGCATGCACACACAATCCCCCCCACCCAGCGGTGCAGTAGACTACATCAGAAACAAAAACAGAAATGCATCAGCCTTGTGCGTCACCCACTGTGGTCTCCTGCATCTTGTTAAAAATCTAACCTCTTGTCTAAAAGTTCCAGGGGAATATTCTGAAAAAAAAAGTGGCAGCAAAATAATTGGCATTGGAAATAAAAATCCTTGTAAAAGAAAAGCAAATCCTTTACAATGAGCTCTCCAGATTGAAATCCTTGCCTAAAAGGATCTCAAAGCTTGTCTCACAAGTTCTGGACTGAACGAGAATATTCCATGATAATAGTTCCTTGTCCGTCTGCTTTAATTGAATACCTTTCCTGTTCATAACAGGGATACCAGAGTTAATTAAATGTGGCTGAAACATGCTGATTGTTTGCTATTTTGTTGTATTTCTGATGTGCTCCTTTGTGCCAGATGTGTTTTGTCATTTACATACCTTGGACAGATAATTCCCAGTGGGGTGTAGTGGATAGAGGTGATGGACTGGGACTCAAGAGAACACGGTTTGAATCCCTGCTCAGCCACGGGAATTCATTGGGGGAGTAGAACTGGTTAAACCCCTCGTTAAATATCTCAATTACCTTGAAAGCCCTAAACAGGTTGCTGTAAGTCGGTTCTGATTTGACAGGCACACAAAGAGGACAATATAGCTTAGCAGTTAAAGGAAGAAGAATTGTAGATGCCATTAATTTAACGTGGAGTTGTGATCACCCTAAGTTACAAATGTAATTGCCTTAAGTTAGATATCATAATATCAATAACTTAATGAAAACATTGCTTCAGTTTGGAGTTTTTGACTACCGTATAGGCTTCATTCTTACTTGTTACAAGTTTCCTAAGGAACGACATCGATGAGAAGGCTACAAAAAAATGGATGAGCTTTGGATTGAAGCCGTCTTTGTTTCTTGTTGTCAGGGAGACTGATTGATCAGCAGTCGAATAAACTGGCGAAAGATGAGATGCTGCAGATGATTCGGCATGGCGCGACACATGTGTTTGCTTCCAAGGACAGTGAATTGACAGATGAAGATATTACTACTATTTTAGAAAGAGGCGAAAAGAAGGTGAGGAGATCTAGAGTGACCTTCCTCTGACTGATGCCCTCCAGATGTTTTGGCTACCGTACTCCATCTGCTTCAGCCACAAGATGAAATGGCCAGGACTGCTGGAAGATGTCATCTAAAACAATTGAAGGGCCCTGGGTTGAGTTAAATGACCCAAACATGGCTTTCACTGCAATAGCTAACTGTTTTGAAATGGGAGAAGGAAAAAGGAGATCTCTTTAGTTCTTTTCAGTCGCTCCAATTAAATTACTTTTAGAAATCAAGTCATGAGCAGAGTCTTGACTGCAGTCCTGCAGTCAAGACGCTACTCACGACCTGGCTTCGGTCCCGGGCCCTGGGTTGAGTTAAATGACCCAAACATGGCTTTCACTGCAATAGCTAACTGTTTTGAAATGGGAGAAGGAAAAAGGAGATCTCTTTAGTTCTTTTCAGTCGCTCCAATTAAATTACTTTTAGAAATCAAGTCATGAGCAGAGTCTTGACTGCAGTCCTGCAGTCAAGACGCTACTCACGACCTGGCTTCGGTCCCGGGCTCAGGTCTGCAGTCCTGCAGTCAAGACTCTACTCACGACCTGGCTTCAGTCCCCGGCTCAGGTAGCTGGCTTAGGGTTGACTCAGCCTTCCACCCTTCCGAGACCAATCAATTGAATACCTAGTTTGCTTGGAGAGGTTGCTGTGTGTAGCCTTGCAAATTGTAAATTGCTTAGAGGGTGTTTAAGGAATATGGGGCCATATATAAGCAGCACACTTGTCTTTTGCTTTTCTTTGCTTATTTATGAATAGCAACATTTCTTAAAGTTAACCACCTTTTTTTCTGCTTTAGACAGCGGAAATGAATGAACGTTTGCATAAAATGGGAGAGAGCTCCCTCCGGAACTTCACGATGGACACAGAAATGAGCTTGTACAATTTTGAAGGTGAAGATTATAGAGGGAAACAGAAGGTAATTTTTCATTTCTCCAGTAAAGGATATTAGCTTGGTTTTAGTTAATGGAGGTTGTTGTGCAAATGCAGATGTTGCTGGGAGGAATCTAGGACTTTACTCTGTCTGTTGATTTTTCTACTTTTATATTTCTCTTTTCAGGCCAAAATATAACTATGTCAAAAAAGCAGGGGGGGAAGTCTAGGTTTTTTTTTATAGAATAGAGAAGCAGTGTGCTTTATCAGCATGATTGAGATCTAATCTGTCCAGGGTGTAGACTATAGGAAAGGAAACAGAGCTTGCTCAGTGTTGAGAAGACGACATTCTATTCAAACAGAGCATGCGTTTTGTTCCAGAAAAGTTTTGAAAGGACCGCCTCTGCAAGGCCAGCTCCTGTTTCCTCTACAGGTTTACGTGTTTGGAATCTTCTGTTTGTTTCCTTATTTCTGAGTTTGCTTTCAAATTCAGCACTCACACAGATTAAGAAAATGCAGTGAAGTGTAGCATGCGGGTTCATGACATCACTATAATTTGTTCTGGAACCTTGCACAAATCCATTCATCTTTTCATGAAGTGAACATGAACGGTACAAAACAAATTTATCTGGGTGACAGATGGGCACGAACTGGCACTTCCCAGCCCTGCTTCCTCTGGCGGGCGTCCACTCGGAGGCCTGGAGGAAGTGGGGCGCCCGCTGGAGGAGATGGGTCTGGGAAGCACTGAACACCCGTTTGGCTAAAACAAAATGAACTAGCACGAACTGCTGGTTCGCCTGTTCATGCCCGTTTCTGCTCTGCATAACTCAAAAACTGTTCTGTTTCAGAGAAAACACGAAAATAAAACAAACACCACACTGGGGAATTTGCAAAAACTCTGCTGGAAATGAGCTTCTTTGAACCATATGGAATATAACCATGTGTTAATCTTTTTTCTTTAAAAGCATTCTGTTGATCATTAGTGGAAATTGAGTTAACTTGCCGTGATCTAATGGTCTTTAAAAAAAAACCCAGTTGTATTTCTTTTCTAGCTGAGCATGATGGAATGGATCGAGCCTCCAAAGCGGGAACGGAAAGCCAACTATGCTGTGGATGCCTATTTCAGAGAAGCCCTCCGTGTCAGTGAACCTAAAATCCCAAAGGTACAAGCAGTGCGGCTTTTGAGTTCGTCTCGTACTTTCCTCTGTTGCGACACTGTCTCTGTAAACATCTGATCATGAACATGAAAATGCCAGTGTAGCTTTAACCCTCTCCGTGCTTCATTTCAAGGCACCACGGCCTCCGAAGCAGCCAAATATTCAAGACTTCCAGTTCTTTCCCCCACGGTTGTTTGAGCTTCTGGAGAAAGAGATTCTTTATTATCGCAAGACCATCGGCTACAAGGTAAAAGCCAAGATCAGTGCAGAAGCTGGTGATACCTTTATTGGATTCTTGGGGGGGTGGTGGTGGAATCAAGTAGATGTGAGCTTTTGATGGCAATAGATGCCATCTTCATCAAGCAGTTTTCAAAGTTTCTTGGCATGGTTGAGGTTCATGGCTGTTGTTCATGCCAGGCAAACACTCTTGGACAGCATGCAAATAGAAGTGTTTTATAGTTCTGTGGTTTAGAGATCTGGCTACAAAGCCAGAGGTTGGGAGTTTGACTCCCCACATTGTGCCTCCTTGACAGGAGCCATTGGGTCCCTTCCAGCTCTGTAATTCTAAGGTGATGAAGAAGCTTGCGGGTGGTGGGTGGGTGGAAATTCCTCCTCAAGGAGCATCAAGGAGCATTTTTGAATTTATGTCCCATCTCTTCCAGTAAAGATTCACCAAGCAGTCTAACAATCTCCCTCCTCGCTGTAGCCTTCCTTTGAAGCTCCAGGCTTTGGTTTGGCTTGTGGGGGCTAAAAATGGCAACACTCCAAAAATCAGTTCTCCTTTCCCTCCCCTGGAGGAGGAGGAGGAGGATGTTTATACCTTCGTGTCCATGTGTTGACAATGAGTAGAACCTGTGACGTTCCTCTGTAAGCGAAAGGAAGGTAGTGGATGCCGTAGTGTGCTTAAGGGAGGTGTGGCGTGGGATGAATCTACCTAAGGGGGTGACTTTAGTAAGAAGAATGAGCATAAAAAAAGAGACAGACACAGATCGCTTTGTATGGGATCTAAACAGATCTCATCTGCTGGCAGTGATGATGGGGACAGTGCTTGTATGACTTCAAATCGTGTGTGGTTTGACCTTCAGCTATGTTGAGTTTGCAGCGTCCTAGCGCCATTATGGGGGCGTGTGCGGGTGCTGGACCTTGTGAGTTTCAAAGTGCAGCACTAAAAGTTCTGTTGTTTCATGTTTTTCCCTATTATGGATAGAGTTCTGCAACAAGCGTACTTGCTGAGCTTCAGTAATCCAATTGCAAGTACAGGAGCACTGCAGGGGATCAGTTCAAAGCCACTTCCGCGGATGCTGAAAAACGTGGAAATATCAAACACTATACATTGCATGGTCCCCTCCAGTGGCTGTTTCTGGCAAATACATCCTGAAAATATTTATTACATATCTATTTCTGGGATTTTTTATTTAGTGTTTTCAGGCATTGGATAAGGGAATAGGTGGATACTGATCCCACGGATGCTTGGGGGTCCTACTGTAATTTAAGGTGAGGTGATACATTTATAGGCCAGCCAAAAAGGTCTGCAAAGATCAATAAAAATGTTCAAGACTTCAAGAATGTATTTTCTTCTTCAAACAAAATGTTGCAAGAGAGTGGAGGAAAGGAAACAGGAGGAGAAAGCAGATCAGACATCCTGCATGTTGTTTCTGGATGTAATGAGGGAAGGAGGCTGCCAATAAAGTCATGAGCTTTGCCCAGTGATAACTGTGGTGTTAAATTTCCCTGGGAACTGAAAGTTAGAAACTTCAAGCTCTCCTACTTAAACCGTAGACATTCGCACTGTGAAATCAAAGCTGCATCCATTCACTCTTTGGTTACTTCTCCTCCTTTGGATGGTGGAAAACAGAGTGACCAGCTCGTCTCTGTATCATTGGAGCTGGCGTGAAAAGTCAACAGAAGCAAATGAGGTAGCTCTTGTCTGTTTTGCCCAATGAAGTGCAGCATGGGCCTAAAACTGGGCGGCATGGAAACTTGGTGAATTGGCCTCCCCCCCACTCTCATTCAGCCAACCTTTTAAATGAAGAAAAATGTGAGAAGAGCAAGAGGGACTGCTCTTGGCCGCCGCTTGGACCCTTGCCTCTTACGTGTGTAGCTAATCTTAAGCTCTTTTCTTTCCGTTCTACTATGGTTGGAGAGGAGACTGCCGGGAAGGCGACCATGAGTGCTTCCCTGCTCCTATCTTTGCTATCCCCTTTGATATTAATTAGATGTAGCTCTACCCAATAGCAGCATTTACAGGTTTAGATGCAAACACAATGTAGATCCAAGCAAATGAGGGTCTGTTCTCCCCCTTTCAATACGGTTCATGACAAAGCAGCTCCTGCTTTGTGTTGCGGAGCACACAGCGTGAGAAGCCTGGTGTGGCTTCTAGCCTTTCATCACCCCTCAGGTGTATAATGCAGGATCTTGCTTACACCAGTCTTTCTGGCTTTGCTGCCTTTCCTGATTTCCATCATAACAACCACAGTGGCTGAGGGCATGCCTGGGTGAGGAAAGCACAGCATTCCACTAAATATTTGCTACGGAGTATTTTTTTTTTTTTAGTTTAAGTCAAGCTTTGCAGCAGAATATAGATATGGAATACTTCCAATGTTTCAAATAGAGTGTGACTTCTAATAGTTATTACCAATAATGAGGCATCAAGGTATTCGCCTTACTGTTTGATTAAAAATATATTTTAAAACCCCAAAGGATTCTAAGGATTGTATTAGTATTAGGTGGAGTTGTAGGCACATGGATACAAAAATCATAGAATAGTGGAGTTGGAAGGGGCTTACAAGGCCTCAACCTCCAACCTCTTGTTTAATACAGGAGTCCAAATCTTATTGTAAATAAAGATAAGAATAAACTGCTGTATATTAGAATCACCAGAAGGTGTGTGTTAGGGCCATGCGCTTGCATTCTTTCATATCCGTGGTGGCCTGGAGTGTTTTTCAGGCATAACAAGGCCGTCTTGAGGCGCACTGGTTACTTGCTCGTTGCCGTTATCATTATGTTTTTGTGGAACAAGAGCCTGCAAGCCATGAGACAACAAATATAGGTGGAGGAGTTATGATGTGCTATGTTCACCTTGCCTGAAGAACTTCCTGAGGATTGTAAACACAAGTAAAAGACATGTTTCTCTACTAGTGCTCTGATGGAGGGGAAATATTTCCTGCTCTGGCAGATACTCAGGGGATGAATAATGGAGCCATCCTGCCAGACTAGCATTTCTGCAGAGTGCCGTAAAGGGAGAGAGATGGGACTCTATACAGAAAACTTCATGGCCTTGCTCTTTTACCATTCATTCATTCATTCGGTGGCCGGTTGCAGGTCCCCAGGAATCCTGATCTCCCAAATGCAGCTCAGGTGCAGAAAGAGGAGCAGCGGAAGATTGACGATTCTGCTCCGCTTTCATCAGAAGAGGCAGAAGAGAAGGAGAAACTTCTCACCCAGGTAAAGTATTTTATTTGGAAAAAAAACCACGCATAATTTTACAACAGAATAAATGCACTGTTTATTGTCTGATGAACTAGGTTCTGGGGGAAAAGGCTGGATGCTTCCAATGGGCCGGTGCCCTGTTCATGCCAGTGTAACAAAAAAGTGAAGCCAGCATAACACTTGGCCACAAGAAACTGCGCTGTGCTGCTGCACAGTCCGTTGCGCAGCCTCGGCAAAACTGACTGCGCAACATGCTGGTGGATACGCTTCGGGGATAGCCCTTCTGCGTGCAAAACCTCCCAGCCGGATTCTGGCCATTACATCCTTTAGTTATCTTTATTTAAAGGCACTGTAAAGTTACAGGTACAGTGTGCCTACAGTATCTGTGGAAGATCGGTTCCATGCCCCCCCCACCGAACGCCGAAAAATAGGGATATGCAGAGTCTATTTTTAGCATAGCCTCTAGTTTCTTCTAGTGGCCAGTTCTAGTAATACGCCTTGGAAAAGCAGGTTTCTGTGTTTTTTAATTCAATATTTTCAGGCAGTAGGTAACAAACCATGGGTAGTGATAAGTGCAAGGTAAAACATGGACGCTGTATGCCACATCTTGTAAACTGATTTTAACTAACGCTGGTAAGTTCTATATTTCTTGAGTGTGGCTCTTTTTAATTGTTGGTAAGTCATAAATAATGTGGAAAATCCACATTTAATGTATAAGAATTTTGACAGTTTTTTTGGGGGGGCATAGTGGTTACTTAGCTAGCTTCTGTCTACTTGTTATTGACTCTTCCTGAAAATATATGAACACGTACAGGGGCAAAACGGGTGTTTTGGCTCTATTTTTCTTCTTCCCCAGCTGTTCTTTTTATTCACCATTTCCTTGGTAAGTATTCAAAACAGACTGTTACTGCATCTCGCTCCAGGCTACCCCTGAGACCGCCAGTGACATCTGGACAAGTGCCCTCAGCCTCTTGCAATTTTATTTGTTACTTATGCTTGTTCAAGTGTGATATAAGTGAAAATCCATTAAGATTTGGATTGAACTTTGTTTCTTTGGAGAAATACAATTTACAAGCCTGAATAAAAAGCCCTCCTTGATGCATGTGGAGAAGCGTGCAAAAATAACTCACTCAAGTTTTTACGACTGAGTAATAAACCCTGGATAATAGATGTTTATGGAAATCCTGCAAGATCATTAACCCCTGTAATTATTATGTGACATTGTACCAAAGCATTAATGAACAAATCCGACTGTATCGTTCTAAGATGCAAGATCTAGGAAAGCATTTCCTCCTTCACTTAACGGCGGTCTCTTCCTTCACAGGGTTTTACAAACTGGAACAAACGAGACTTCAACCAGTTTATTAAAGCGAATGAAAAATATGGGCGGGACGACATTGACAACATTGCCCGTGAGGTGGAGGGAAAGTCACCTGAAGAAGTTATTGAATATTCGGGTTCGTGGGTTGTATCTGGAACTGTTCGCATTTTTTTTTAGAAAGATGGAAATCTCTGTGTTGGATTTGCCTTTATAATTCCGTAAGGGTAGGGAGTTGAAAGGGGTATGGGGTGCACGGAGGAGCTAACGTCCTGCATGGAGGGTTTTAAGATCTACGGAGGGATTATGATCAGAGAGCGACTATGTAACCCTTTAGCAATTACGATTCTGTACTTGCCGTTTCTTAGATCATGACATGCTTCATTTGACAGCCCTGTGGATGGCAAGGCAGAGAGAGAGAGAGAGAGAGAGGCTGGATTTATTTTTTGCTTCTCTTGACAGCATTATAATGCAGCTAATGATTTTGTTGAGTGATGGGCATTTGGAAGAACTGGATCCAAACAAATGCATTTCTGTTCTGCGCAGCTGGCCATGCCCTTCAAGGGCTGTATATTCGTTCAGATGATGTATTCCGCTTGCAGCAGAAGACCCTGGTCTGACCTAACATCATCCTTCCCCTCCCCAGAATCCTATCGCCTTCCTGCACTTTATAGGCTGTTTACCTTTCTAATGGTGGGAAATATATAGGAGGAACAAAGGACAGCTTAGAACAGAAACGAGGAAGCTCTGGGGATTTGGGGTGCCAGTTTTTTTACATCAGCCCTAAAAAAGTCCAAAAGAGGGAGAGAGGTGGGGGGGAAATAAAGCCAAAAGTGAAGATACATTTCTCATTTTTGGGGGATGAAAAGAAGGTGCACATTGACCTTGCACCTTGTTTTAGTGCAAAATTGTCTTGGGGGTGGATTTTTAAACATGTATTTATTTTTCAATTTCTTTTTTCTAGTAGGGGTTGGGGGGGAACAAAAATACTTTGCCGGCCCCTAGCTAAAATACATGATTGCTTTTGTCGTCATCTCACCGTGCTCCAGAAAAATTCCCAGATCCTACACATTAATTAAAAAAACAAGGCAATTCCTGTCCTCAGGTGCACAACCCAGAAGACATAACACCAAAGGGGAGAAAGCATGGGAAGGGAGAAAAGGATGAACAGATTTCAGGCACCCGTTTTCCAAGTTACAGAGTCCTTGTAAGGGCCACTTGGGTTGTGAATCGTTCAGGGAGAGAAGAAAGCAAGAGGAGCTTGTCCTAGCAGAACGAACAAGAGCGGCCCTGCTTCTCCTCTCTCTGTCTTTCTGCTGTGGCTGTTAGAATGGCTGCTTTCAGGTTGCAGTGGTGCTTTCCCCCTTCGGCCTCTCGGATCTGCAGACAGAGGAGTTAAATGCACACCTCTGCCTTGCTCTCCCTCTCTCTGTTTTTCTCTCTGCATGTTTGTGTGTGTGTAAAAGCAATTGTGGGAGGCCAGAGCAGGCAAGCAGTGATGGGGGAGCAGCTGCTGAAGCTTTTCCCTGCTTGTCTTTTTCTCTGCTCCCCCTCTCCCTTGTCTATAATATCTAGTTTAGCCACAAGGGCATGAAACTGACTATCTTAAGTGGAAGCTGCTTTTCAGAGCTGATCAAGCCCTTTTCGAAGAAGACCCTTGTGCAGGAGCTTCAAATTATTTAAAATGTTACACAAAGCTGCATCAGATATGTATTTCCTTTCAATATTACAGTTTTTGAGAGGTCTTAGAGTCTTCTATGAAAACTTGTTCCATGTAAACTGAAATAGAAACTAGCTGCACAATATGCAACTTGGTACATTTTAAACATTTCTTAGACGTATACAGATAATATACCGTAACTAGCGTGTGATGTGTTTAGGGGGGAGAAATCCTTAATTGTACTGAATTGTACATGAGGAGGGAGAAATCCTTAATTGTACTGAAATATGTTTTGGTACCCTTTTACTAGGGGAGCCTTTTTTAACAGATTGTTTCTATTTTTGAAATTTTCAGCTGTCTTCTGGGAACGCTGCAATGAACTTCAGGACATTGAGAGAATCATGGCTCAGATTGAACGAGGGGAGGCCAGAATACAGAGAAGAATTAGCATCAAAAAAGCCCTGGATGTCAAAGTAATTTTGCAGATTCATATTGACTTCGATTAATTTTGTCCTGATTAAACTAGCATATGGCTATGCTCCCCATAGATGAAGTATTCCCACGCTCTTTCTAATTTTTCATTACAAAGCATAATCCTACTTCATTGGTGGATGAGGTTCTTTTCTTTAATAAGTAGTCTTAACTCTGTGAATTGAAATGCTCAGTATAAGCACACTATGTTTGTTATGCAGTATGACTCTTTTATCCGTGGGATCAGTATCCGTTGATTCACTTATCCACAGATTGAAAATATTAAAAGAAAATCCTAGAAATATGTATTTCTAAAGATGAGGTTATCAGAAACGGCCACTAGAGAGAACCAGAGACCATGCTAAGTATAGAGTTCGCTATAATCCATGTTTTTCAGCACGCACGCGGGGGTGGGGGGAATCACGAACGGATAAAGGGGCTCTACTGTATCAGCTGAGAGATTTTTAAACTGACTGATGGCTAGTGGATTGAATCGCTGCCGACCTTAAGTGTCCTCCCGCTGACTCCCTTTGCCACTAAAGCAGAATGAATTGCTGGCTTACATGCATATAACCTAACCATTCCCAATTTAAAAAAAAACTTAATTGTTTTGTTTGAATTTCAGATTGCAAGGTATAAAGCGCCTTTTCATCAGCTGCGCATTCAGTATGGAACAAACAAAGGCAAAAACTACACAGAGGAAGAAGACAGATTCCTAATATGCATGTTGCATAAGATGGGATTCGATAAGGAAAATGTGTATGAAGAATTAAGACAGTGTGTACGCAACGCTCCCCAGTTTAGATTTGACTGGTTTATCAAGTCTAGAACAGCAATGGTAGGTCATGTATGTCTCTTTTAAAAAAAAGTATCTTTGTATTTGATGGATTGGATCATTTATTTATTACATTTTTATGCTGCCTTTCTCCTGTTGCTACACTGGTCTGTCCTTTGAATGGTTCAACTGCTTTTTGATTATTATTTTTTTTTTAAGCAGTCACAATACTTAAATCCATCATTAGCCTATTTCTGTTCTGCCATTCTGTCGTGTGGCTAGACCGAGCAAGTCAAATAGATGGGGAACTTAAGCTTAATTCCCATTTAAGTTAAAATGAATTACTTTGGAGCAGACATGTGTAAGATGTCATGGTTAGGGTGCTTAAAAGTGTGTTCCTGAACCAAGAGTACTTCCCAGTAGAGGCATTGGTCCCTGAATACCATGGGTGGAGAGTTGCAAATGTGAAGAAGAACTGTATGTAGCAAAGAGGGTGCAGCACTGGCAGTACGAAATCAGTCATTCCAGAACTTGGCTTTCTTTGGTGCTGTCATATCTGGAGAAGTTCCTGCCTGACAAGATCCCTACAGTCCATTAAGCATTTCTGTTGACTTTGCTAAACAAGTAGATTATCACAAGTCAGGTCTGAATCTATCTTTGGCCACAGACTTGGTACAAAGACTAGGCAACCGGACCATTGAACCATGCCAAACCACAGTTCGTTCCCATCTCTAGATGTTTCTGAAATTGTCCATGTGTGAAAAAGAATGAATATAGAGATGTTTCCCCGTCATCTAACAGTAGAATTTTTCAGTAAAGTGGAATGGCAGGAGAACTAGAACAAAGAGTGCGAGAGATCACCATAATCGCCCAATCTCCTGAAAAGAACAAAAGCTGATCCCACAGCTATAAATACTCAACTATCCAAACAAATTGCACCAGGGCACAGACAGAGTTTTGGCTCCTGTCCTCTGAAGAGGCCAGCCACAGAGACTGCTAAAACGTTAGGAAGAACAACCTTCAGAACATGGCCAAAGAGACCGGAAAACCCACAACAATCATCAGAGCTGTTTTTCATACTCTATAGCTAGGCTGTGGTGACGGACCCGGTCTTAGATAACTTTAAAAGAGGATTATATGGATTCATAGAGGACAGGCATTAACAGGCCCATGATGTTGCGTGATATTGGGGGGAAATTATCAGGTATATTTATCAGTTGAAGGGTCATGCTTCAGACATGAACCAGGAAAGAAAAAACTAGCCATGATGGTGGCATGTTGTCATCTAACTTGTAGAGGCAGCGTCCTTTGCTCTGACTAGTAGTTACAGGGGAACCTCAGCTGGACAGCGGATTCTGCTTGGGGATTGCCAAAGGAGTCTGCTTGGCCATGGACCTCAAGAGAGGGTTGGACTCGGTTGACTTTTGATGGGATGCTGCAGGGCTGTTACGTTCAGTTGTGCACCGTACGATGTGTTTGTAATCTTGTGATGGCCATTGGTGAGAGGTTTGTTCCATGAATAACTTGATGATTTTGTACAGGCGTTCTTTTGGCGAAAGACCAATTGCTAGAGAATACACCATTACTCCAAGAAACGGAAGCTTTTGATGTCCACACTTAAATCAGGAAGACTCCGAATAAACCTTGCTTTTCATGCATTTCCATTAGAAGACTTGCTCATTATTTTCAAGTGGCCACTAGATGTCTCTCTGGTTCTGTATAGTTCAGATGATATTTTTCTGTTCCTACCCCCTCCTGTGCATTTATTTAAAAATGTATCTTCAGAAAACCAATATAATTCTTCTGCATTTCTTATTTTCTTGCAAGCATATGGCTTACACAGTGTGCGGTCATAAATGGCATGATGGTTTCTATAAAATTTTAGTTTCTCTCCAGTGGTCCCCATGCTTCACATCTAGATGTCATATTGTATTGACTGCCCTTCTTTGGGACTGTGATGGAATAGGTTAGCACTGCTGAATTTCAGATCTGTTCTCCTTAAGGCATGGCATGTGCCTGTTCTCTGTGCATTCCTTTCTAGTTGGCACAAGATCACTGGGCTGCAGTTTCTCCCATAAAAGAAAGATTCAGCTCATTGCAAAACCTTTATGGCTTAGTCCATGCCAAGCTGAGGAACATCCTTCCTTTTTCCATGACATTGACGCTAGCTAGAAAACAAGGCATATGAGGCTATTAAGGAGATTATTCTCAGAGAACCCTTGTGTTGTGGCACAGTGGTTAAATTGCAATACTGCAGCCAAAACTCTGCTCACAGCCCCAGATTCAAGTCCCAGGTAGCCAGCTCGAAGTTCACTCAGCCTTCCAAGTTTAATGGGGGAGGGAGGTGCCCCTTCCAAGTTTGGTAAATTGAGTACCCAGATTAATGGGGGAGGGAGGTGCCATATGTACCCTGCATAAATAGTGTAGCCTGCATAAATAAATTGTAAACTGGCCTGAGAGTGCTTTAAGCACTGTGGGGTGGTATATAAGCAGCATGCTTTTGCTTATTCCTTTTCTTTTATTCTGCACCTTTCCCCCCTTTTAGGGGTTAAAGTTCTTGAAAGAATGGGTAGATCTCTCCCCAGAGACATGCTAGAAGTGCAACGACTGTTAGGAATTAAGAAAATTCACAAGGTCCCTTGTGTCTGTCATGATGCTTGTATTTTATTCCAGATTGTAACCTGAAGATCAAGTGTAATTGTGTGATGGAGTCTGGTTTCTTGATGGGGCATTCTAGTATAGGATATGATTGTTATCCTTGTTTAATTTGCAAGATTGGAATAAGAAGGAACTGGATGATGTGTTTTAGAAATGTAAACACTCCTAGCCTGAGCAAAGTTTATGGTTTGTGGAGGTTTTTTGGCTGGGAGAGGAAATCTTTAGCATGCTCTGCTTCGCCATGCTTTATTTTGTAAAAACACTTCAGATGAAAAATCTTCAGCATTGAAAAGCAAGCTTTAGCAATGGCTTCTCCTTACCCAGTCTTATAGAGGCATAGCTGGGGATTGGTTCGTGCTGGGCAGGAGGCACCTCAGCTCTTTCTTTCTTTCTTTCTTTTTAAATACGAGGAGCACCAGTGATGGGTTTGCTGACTTTTTAACAAGCACGGAACTTCTAAATGATTCCTCAATCCAATTTGGCCGTAAGCAAAAGGTGAAACAGAGGATAAAAACCCCAAAAGTATTCTAGCACCTTAAAGGACGAGCAGATTCATTTCAGCATGAGTTGGTCTTACACTGAAAATTAAAAAAAAAAAAACAGCCAAAATAATCAACAGAGCAAAGCAAAAACAATTCAAGTTCCTCTGTTATTTTCTATTTCTGTTATTTTTCTTGCACATTCTGAAATGGGCTGGCACACCTGCTTAGTAGCTTCAGAAACCTACTTTGCTGTTGGCACTCGGAAGCCATCTCTGTTCTCCACCTCCATGCATGTGGGAGTCAATGTCATATTCATGGTTCCTCGTAAATGCCTTCCCTGCGATGGAGCTTTCTCTTTTCCGGAAAACGCAGGAAGATATTATTGATGGTTGTGTTAACACATTGTGCCACAATGGTATTGGTGACTTTGCTTGCGTAAACCATGAATTCTGAGTGGCCACAATGCTGCTGTGATTGCAAACGCTGCATATCTTAATATATATATCAAGGAAAGAGAAGAGTTTCTTGCTTCTGAAATCCTTAATATTTTAAATACATCTCAGTATCTGCTCACTCCCATTCTAGCTCATGCAGAAAAACAGAGCCCCTGCATGCCTTTGTCCTACCTATCTACTGGATGCTTCCAACATGCATGAGATTTTTTTTCCTCCACTAGTCCAAGATTCAGTCATGGAGTTGACGTGTAATGTAACTGAGACGGCTGTCCGATCAGCGTTTCGTTTTTGCTCTCTCCAAGCAAGAAAACAATTCTGATGCAGGCTCTTAAAGGAGTAGGAAGATAGAAGGACTGCAGTAGCCTGATAATGCTCACCTTTTTCCTTCTGGAAGGCTTAAGAAGGAAGAAGAAACTAAGCGCACATATTCCGCCATTTTTGTGCAGATTAGTTCTGAGTGCACGTAAGAATTGGAAGGTGTTCAAATCCAACAAATCCTTGGGGGAAGATGAAAGCCGGCTGAATTTCAGCCACCATTTCAGAGGGACCAAATTACTTTTTCTGAAACAACTCAGATACTCTTAAGTCTTCCTTCCCATGCCCTCTTGTGCTAAAATTGCACCTCACAAATCTGGCTATACAGGAAGCAAAGAGGGAAACCATTATGATTGATCTTTCTGGCCGTGTTCTCGGTGTTGAGTGGGAAAAAGTTCTCAAAGGATAGACTGGGAAAGTGTTCTTGGCAACTGAGGCGGTGTGATTGTTACCTTCAGATGCTTGCGTGTTTGATCATACTTGCTTTCAGTTTCACTTCTGACCTCATCTAAATCAATAGCCTAACAGAATGCAAATGTCTGCCTTCACATGCTCATAACTTTTACTGTTGTGTGAGAGAAGCCAAACAGAGATTTAACAACTTGGGCAAGAGCTTTTTTCAATGGGTTGTTGCTTAAGGTTTAACTGTATGTTGCAGCTGATGACAATGGTGAGCTTGATTTGGCGCAGAGAAACAGTAGAGGTAGGAGGTTCTTTCTCGGGCTATTATTATTCTGCCCCATGTCATTCCACCTCTATTCTTTACGCATAACTTACAGAGTTCCCAACACTAGCTTTTGCATGGGTTTTATTGAAAAATAATTGGTTGTTAATTTATAGCTTTGTAGGCACTGAACTGGAGGCTTTGGTTCATTCCAAGAACGTGTAGTGGCCATAATTAAACCTTTAAAGCCGTAGCTAAAATGATTTGTAAGGCAAATAGCAGGGTGCGTATACTATGCAAGTACGTTCTTTTCAGGCTGAACTCATCCAGGATGCAGTCATACTTATAGGAACACAATCTGTGCGTATAAAAACTATGCTGGAGTGAAAATCGGTAGTGAGGTGAATAAAAGTGCCTCTCCTTTTAAGTGGATCGTTCCTTTGTCCCTTTTCAGGTGCCACACTTATGAGATGGTCAAATAAAAGTGAGCTCCGTGTTACAATCTTGTGCATTTTTTGATGGCATGCGCCGTGGGGAACATTCCAGAACTGTGTCTTTGGACTCTGACCCCCTGAGAATGCTTAAGCTAGAGCACAGAAGTCCCACTTTCTGATTCGCCTCGGGTCAGAGGTTGACCTCAGGCTCTTGAGATTTAGACATTGCCGGGAATAGCCAAGAGCAAGCCTCTTTGGCCTCTGCATTTGAAAAATCGCTTTCTCTGAGAGGGCTGTGTGGATGTGACATATTGTCTTCTTTCTCGGCCAGAGATGAAGTTGAACATCAAATTGAGACTGACGGTTCATTAGCTAATCTGTATTCCCTCCCCCAGCAATCGACACCACTGCCATTTCTTGGTAGATGCTGAAGGAGATAATCTGGCAGCATCTTCTCTCTAGTTATTGCGAGGAATGGCTGGAGGTCTCAGTAGCAAACATGTGTTGCGCGGAGAAGGCTGAGTGGCATCTCTCACTAAAAAGGGTGAAGTAGAAGATGATGGAGGAAGGCAGGCCACTGTCTAAGACTCTGGAGAGCTGCTCCCCATTCAGAGTAGGGACACTGCAATTAATGGATTGGTAGCCTGGTCAGACAGAAGGGAGTTACCTATCTTGACCCCTACATCAGCCACTCCCAGTTTGGGACTCCCCAGAAGCATGGGGGTTGTACCTCCCATTGGCTTTGCCCCCTGGGAAGGATGGGCACAATGGTCTGGGTTAGATCCCAGGTAGCCTGTTCCAAGTTGACTCACCTTTCCATCCTTCCGAGGTTGGTAAATTGAGTACCCAAATTGTTTGTGTGTGTGTGTGTTCACATGCAGCCTGCATAATTAATTGGAAACCACCCAGAGAGTGCTTAAAGCTCTGTGGGGTGGTATATAAGCAGCACACTTTGCTTTTTGCTTTGCTTTTCCTGGTCCTTCATAACCCCCCCCCCCAAGTGAAAGTGTGACTGGCCTGAATTCACTGAGCAAGCTTGGTGGCTGGGTCTCCTGAATCTAATCTCGGGATGCTTAACTGCTAGATGGCAACGGGTGTGGTATCTAAAATTATTCCACAGGAAAAGGCTGCGGCTCAAACAGTATTCGAAGGGTTGCCAAATTTATATGTCAGTGCAACACCACCCCCCCATACTGTATATTGGTTTAAAGGGTTCTTTTAAGAAAAGCTTTTGATTTCTTCTTCTGAGTCAGTTATTTTGAAAAATGTTAGGGTTTTGTTGAAACAAGCCAGAAAACAGAAGTCGGTGATGATGTGAAAATATGTGAGTGAGAAGGGTGTGTTTAGGAAAACTTTTGTGTATGATGGATTACCCCTTCAGAAATGTTTTTGACATATGCACCACTTTTATTGAGGTTTGTTTTAGATTACCCTGTTTTTATGAGCCAGATTGACAAATCTAAATTAGAAATGCCTGGAAGGTGCTTGCATCTAAAATGGCTGAATATTTTTAGAAACTAATTCAGAGTCTTTCTTTATACAGTGTTGGACCGTCTTGTAGGTCATAATTTGGGGCAAAGTCTTCATCCCATTGAATATCACTGCCCGTTGACTTTAATTACTCTGTACTGCTCCCTAAAGTTTGAATCAAGAAATGCAAAACGGAGGCTGCAGACATGAAACACATTTTATTAAGACTTCACCGCTTCAAAATTTCCGCTTGTGATATTTTGCACCTTCTGGACATCTTGCCTTTTAATATGTCTGCTTTATGTGTTTGATTAAACTGTTGCTGAATTTGCTGTTGTCCTAATCATGTTTCTCAGGAACTCCAGAGGCGCTGCAATACACTCATATCACTCATAGAAAAAGAAAATATGGAAATTGAAGAAAAAGAGAAAGCGGAAAAGAAGAAACGGGGCACAAAAGCGCCAGTGGTAATAACTTTAATTTGCCTTTCTGAGTTTTTCTGAAATTTAAAATATTGATTTGAGAAGATTAGTTACTGTCAGTAGCTACAGTAGCAAACTGCACCCAGAGTTCTCTCTTTTCTGCCTTCCCCTGTCCAGAACGAGGCCTGCAGTTCAGCCATAAAGAAGCATTTTGTTTTCCTGGGGAGCTAAAGCAGTTGATGACAATCCTCTGGCAGGGCAGTGGGAGGGCTTGGCAGCCATAGGCATTGTCTCGGCTGCTTCACAGTGAATTTGATCCACGTCCCTTCCTTTTTATGGGCTTTATATATACAAAATAAAGTTCTCTTGTACTGCTGTAGCTTGCTTTAAGTACACAGGAAAGCGCTTGTCCTTTCCTCTTCTCATTTCCTCTGCTTCTGCTTTCCTCCCAACCCTTTGGCTCGCCCGCTGGGGACCAAAATCTCTCAGCTATCCAGCAGTTCTGGAAGCTGACGGATGGGATGTTTGGGAGTGTGGTGGAAATAGTACTTCCCTTCTTCCATTCCTTTCTCCATTCGCCTAGGGTAGCGGGGCTGTTTCGCTGCACCACTCCAAGAGCATCTGAAATAGTTGAGGAAATCCAAGGTCATGGTAGCGGAACATGCGATCCCTTCTAGCATTAGGACTGTCTTCTTTCTGTGGCTCTGTTTCATAGCAGTTGTGTTCCCCCCCTCTTTTCCTTTTTTCTTAAACTCTGTATGTATAGATGGAAGTGCAGAGGGACCCAGAGTCCTTTGTTATGTTCTGCTGACAACATAATGGTCTATTAGATTTCATTACCTTTATAGATTTCCAGGCATTAGAACAGATGAAAATGATGTGTTTTTTTCTCTCTCTTCCCCCTCTCTCTTCTCTTCCCACCCCACTCCTGGATGTCACAGAAAAGAAAAGCAGATTCTGCTACGGAGGGCACTGGAAAAAAGGACGCCAAGAAAGTGAAGACGTAAAACCGGGAAAGGGCGCTCCGTTTAATAAAACTGCCGTATTTTTATCTCTCTCTCCCCTGCCCCTGTGTTTTGACACCGTCTGTGTATTCATGGTACCCACCGAACCTGCCCTCCCTTCCTGGTTTTAATTTTTGCAAATCTGTATATTTTACAATGTCTTTCTTTACCTAATATGTAGCTTTATATTTTATGCATTCCGATATTTTTTGTGTCGTCGTATTTTGTGATTCTCATGTGTTCAGCAAAATCTACTCAGCCCTTGTTCTTCTGAAGCTGAGTTTTTAGCTTTCATATGTTTTATATGCTGCTGCTTTGGGGGGGGGTGATATCGCACTTAATTATGTAGTATTGTTGTTGTTTGCTACTTTATTTGATTGTGGGAACCTAACAGAATTAAAATGACTGGAGGAAAAAAAATCTTTTTCTGTGATAAATGTTTGCAACTCTGCTCTCTTGTAGTAACTTTTTTAAACGGGCTTAGAAAACATGTGGTCTTGTAGTGCTGCTTATATAAAGTGTGCTGCTTATATACCGGCCCATAATGCTTCAAGCACTATCTGGGCGGTTTACAAGTTAATTATGCAAGCTACACATTGCCCCCCCCCCCACAAGCTGGGTACTCATTTTACCGACCTCGGAAGGATAGAAGGCTGAGTCAGCCTTGAGCCGGCTACCTGGGATTGAACCCCAGGTCGTGAGCACAGTTTTGGCTGCAGTACTACAGTTTAACCACTGTGCAATGAGGCTCAGTAGTAATGAGATACAAGAGGCGATACATTTATTTACTACAGATTCTGTACATTTGTACATCTTTTTTGGGGGGGGGCAGGCGACCCGTTACTCAGTTGTACCTGCCTTTACTCCTGATTGGCATATTTATCCAACAGCAGAACAGAATGTGCTGCTACAGACTGAAGCTGCCAGATGTCCTTTTTCACCCTGTGCCCATTGTTAAACATTTGCTATAAATGAAAAAGTCGCACAAACTGAGTGGGTTGAACTAGACTCCTTTCTTCACATGCTCAGTTTTTACGTGCAAGGATTTTTTAAAATTAGTACTGTGTTATTATATGGGGAAGCATTCAGAATCAGTAAGCAGCCTATCGCTGGGCTCTGCTGTTGCTGTGCTTATATATTTATATAATATATTATATTTGCATCTATATCCCTCCCAGTTGTTTAGGAATCTCAAGGTGGTGTACGGGGCTTTCTTCCTCTCCACTTGGTCCTCACAGTAATCCGGGGAGGGAGATCAGACTGGCAGAGATTGACTGGCCTAAGGTGAACTTCATGCCTTAATGGAGACTTGAGCCTTCACGTCCCATGGGGCCGTCCATTGCTCTAACCATGACAGCCCACTGCCTTTTAGTCTGTGGTCTGCTGTCTCTCCTGCCACCTTATTTTTCTTCCTATCGACTGGTTCTAGGTTGTGAAAACACAAGTCATAGAAATGGAAATGCTGTACAATTTGAAACTACTTGCTGGACCATTGGAACCATGCAAATAGGCAAAAGCAGTGTTTCTTGAGCATAAATTATGCAGTTTGTTTTATTACATGAATAGACTGTGAACATACAGCATTCCGGCTCTGCCAGTCTATGTAAAACTTAATTGGACAAAAATACAATCCTCTGTTTGTCCCAATAGGGGAAAGAATGCAGCTACAAAATTATCAGCTGCACTATATTCAAAAGATTTGTTTAAAAGGCCAAGCAGAAAATAAATAAAACCAAAACACTTTATGCCTTTTAATATATATGAGTAAAATATCGTGCATGACAAATACATAAAAAAAGAGAATCCATGTAAATAACTTAGCAGAGAAGAGGAAAGGTGTAAACACCTTGTTGAAGTTTCCTTTTGAAGCTTTCTGGAGGAAGACAATGTGAAATTATATTAGAGCATCAAACAGAATAATCACATCTGGCAAAAAATTTAGGCAAGCGAACCCATGGAAGCTTTCATTGTTTGGCTCCATCTAAGTTCCTTCCAGTACATACTGGCTTCTACTGTTCCAGCTGTATAGCAGTGTAATCTACAAAATTAGAAGAGGGAAAGAAAACCTTTTATCTACCTAATCCATAGTAGAGGTTTGAAGGCCAGACTCCTGTGGACTCAGATAATGATCAATAAAAACTTTTCCAAAGAGGAAATTCAGAAAAATGTTCAGCGATGTATTGAAGCCAGACCCTCAACAGGGAAAAGAAGTAAAAGAAAGAAAATGAACAGAAGGCGAATTTGAAATGGCCGTGGCCAGTAAACGGCCACGGCCAGATATGCCGAAGAAGAAGCTTGTCCAGGAAAGAGAGAGCCCTCCACTCAAGAGGAGGCAAGAAACAAGCAAAGACCTCTCAAGACCCAAAGTTTGGTAAGATAAATCAGCAAAAAGTAACAATTAAATGAGGAAAAGTTGGGTGCATTTGCCTTTTGATCCACTGACACATGGGACATTTCCTGTCTTTTCATCTGTCTGTCTTCTGCCCAGTTCTGGTAAGGTCATATGCCAAGTTTATGGAACAACTGGCTTAGAGTTTGTGTCTTCTTACACTCGCCTGTAGTTCCATGACAAACCCAAACTAGGTAACCGTCTCTGTTTGTTTGTGGATGTGAAAAAATCTTTGAAAAAAATATAATTGACTCAAAGTTTTCCTCTTTTGCTTTTCCCTATGGCGTGCATCTGCTGCGTTTTGAGAGACCTTCAGCACTCGCTGCTTTATTAAATTTTTAAGAAAACTGGCCACTAAAGTGTGCAAGGAGACTTCTAAAAAACCTCACTTTTTACAAGGGGAAAAAGGGTGATTGGAGAGGTTGGAGAACAAGTTTTCTAAGGTCCAGTGATGGACTTGCGGATTCCCTGGATTTCTGGAGGTTGCCCAGGAGTTACATATTTCTACCTTGGTGCAGAAACGATTCTACTTGTGAACCAATGATAATTGTGTGCCATCAAGTTGATTCTAACTTAAGGAGACCCTTTCCAGGGTTTCTAGGTAAAGAATATAGTGGTGCCTTGCATAGCGACAATAATCGGTGCAGCAAAAAATGCTGCAAAGCGATTTCGTCGCTATGCGATTTTAAAAAGCCCATAGGAATGCATTGAAACCCCTTCAATGTGTTCCTATGGGCTTCAGACTCACCTTAAAGCGTAAATTCTCCATACGGCGGCCATTTTCGCCGCCCGGTAAGCGAGGAATCGGTCCCAGAAAACAGCGGGCGGCCATTTTTTTTACCCGGTGGCCATTTTGGAACAGCCGATCAGCTGTTTAAAAATCATCGCTTTGCGATGATTGGTAAGCGAAACGGTACCGATCATCGCAAAGCGATTTAAAACATTTAAAACATCACAATGCGATCACTTTTGCAACTGCAAAATCTTCATCGCTATGCGATTTCATCATTAAATGGGGCACCCGTTAAGTGAGGCACCACTGTACTCAGAAGTAGTTTACCCTTCCCTTCCTCTAGGGGTGACCTGGGATGGAGGAAGCTTGCCCAAGGCTACACAAGCTGGCTCTTCTAGGACACATAGTGGGGGAATTGAACTCCCAACCAGATGCTTAACTCACTGAGCTCTTGTGAACCAAAGTTGGGTTTTCTCTCCAGTCTATGGCTCCCTTGTTAACGTTTGGGCCCCTAGCAACATCAAAGTGAAAAAGAGTAGCTAAAACTCTATCCAAAGTTTGAAGAGAATCAAACACTATACCCTAAATACTCAGCATGCAGTCTTGGGAAGAACTCTGTAAATTTTCCTTTGCAATTTGGGGGCTTCTCAGTGCGTGTTGGGGTCCCTGCTGTGGTTGCCTGAAGATGTTGGTATAAAAAACTGAAATGGCTTCTTAGGCCAAGGATGATGTTCTACAGAGTCTAATCTCTAGCAGTCAGCTTTTGCTGCTGTGTAAGAGTCAGAGGATAAACCACTGGAAGAAAGTGCTAAGGCCGGACAGCAGGACGAAGCGACCTCAAGAAATGCGGTGAAAGATCTTACACAGGATATACAATGGAAACGCGGGGATAATGCTAAAAAGTGGCTGAGCACAGAATCTTAAGCACTTGAGAGACTTCTGCATGAGATGTCGAAAAAAGACTTCTAAGAAACTAAGAACAGTAATTAAGACTTGTGAACTGCCCCGAATTGAGAAGAAAAAATGTTTTTCTTTCAACCTTGGCTGCAGGATGGATTGATCTCAATCAGCAAGGAGGGAGGGAAAACCAGTTAAAAAACCCAGTTTCCCACTGACACTGCTTCACATATTTCCCGAACAATGCTAGCCATGTAACCCCTAAGCTGTGTGAATTCAGAGCAAGAACATTTGCACCCTTTCATTCTTACAACCGTTCTTTTTCTGCATTGGGTGGGTTTGTCATGATTTCCTGCGTGCGATTTTTGAAATCTATAGAGGGATTGACTTCTGGGTGTATAGGACTGCTGTTGTATCCGGTCTTTTGGCCTTAAAAAGGACCCCCTAAGGAAGCTTTACACTTAAACATTAAAGCACCAGAAGCAATAATAAAAGCTCAGAGCATTATAGAGGCCCATAAAATCATTAAACAGGAGAGACCACAGTAAGTCAAAAAAACCCAACACAGCAGGGGAAAATGCATAGGTTAAGGGTGCTTTTTCTTAAAAGATTGTTCCTAGTAGTGGGAAATAGAGCATTTGTGATTCGGCGGAAGGAAATAAAACAGTTCACAGATGCTAGTGCTCAGAAGCAACCGGTTGCGTAAATGCCAGAGAACAGATCATTAGCAGCCATAATGGCGCAAGGCAGGCTTTTGACTTCGCATTTGGAGGACTGCAGCATAAAAACCCACTCCTTGTTTATTGCTGGTGGAGAAAACAAAAGCGAGATGAATATTTCGGTGACTTTGAAGCAACAGGACCCTTCTAACACTTTTCAGATCTTTGTTGGTCTACGAATCTTTATTGGCCTACGAATCACTGGCAGGGGTGGCTGGGCTTGATCGCGGATTAGCACGAGACTTTGTTCTGGTGCAGGTACCACACAGAGGCACACAAGAAAGGCTTCTGCGTCCTTTCTCCCCGTGAAATGTGGAAGAAATGAAAGAGTGTCCTCAAATTAAGCAGGATCCCTTCCGACCTGGAAGGTCGGAGAGAGATAATGTCTGGGGCAACCCATTGTGGCAGGATTTGAGTTCCTGCCAGGCTTTTTATCGTTGGACACAAAGGCTCTCTCTTGTTTCCTGCAGGTGGAAGCTCTTTGCGCGTCAACACATTGAAAGCATTAAGGACATTCAACGCAATCACTAGCTAGTTTTGGAAATGTTGGAAAAAGCACGAGAGGGCAACAAGAGAGCTATTAGGCTGATGAGAAGGCATCTGGAGAAGGCTCCTCAATAACCACACCATGCCATCAATAGTGACTCCTTAAGATCAAAACTTGGACGTCACTATTTTTGGACCACAGCTCTGAACAGTGCCGAACCAACACC